GAGCATTTAAAAGTAAGTTTACAGGGCATTTTCTCCCCCAAATGCTTCAATGTGCATCTCTTGACAAGGACATTTTCTTCCATGGCCCAGTGCCATAATCCATCCAGCAGTGGTCTCCACTGTCCTCAGTCACTCCACAGTCAGCCCTCCATGCCTCCAGTGCCTTTAACTCCTCTTTTGTTCATGCCAACATCTGATCAAGGATGCCATTGTTGGCTGTTGGCCCCTTCAATCTCTTTTCAAGAACAGTCATCCTCCCTGCCCCCCTCTTTTTCCCATGACACTACTTTGCAGTGGAGACCGGGGAACAGCCCATCTTCTGGATTGTGCTGGTTGCTTCCTTGTGGTGTCTTGAACTGTCTCCCTCTGTCCCTGAAATGCTCTGTAAACTGCAACTTGAGCCTCAAGGCTGCATTAGGATTGGGTCAAGCTTTGGCAAGAGCCCTCTTGAGCCACCTGAGCACTCCCCACAAGCGTCCCTGAAGGGACATCCCACCTCTGTCCCACCACTGTTAAATTAGCTTTCTCTCTTGTGACCAGCAGTAGCCCAGGAAGACATTTTGACATCACGTGGATGCCTATTCTTCCTTCGTCTTTCACCTAATGTTTTTTAGCATCCACTTGACCTTAAGGGATTCCTTCTCTCTGATTAATATAAACTTCTTCATGAGACACATGAGTTTATTTATTCTGAGCCAATGTTGATTGACAACTTATCACAGGTGATAAGGGACTTTGGGGCAATTTAAATGCTCTAGGGACCCTGTCCTTTTGCCCTCTCTCCTGTTGCACAAGCTAGCTGTGCTCGCCCACAGCAGCATAAGAAACACTACAGGTGTGGCCCCACCCATCCAGGGCCCCACCCACCTACCATCCACAACCTTGTTCCTCTGCTGTGCTGCCCAGGAATTCCACCTTTTTAGTCTCCAGTTGGGTGAAAGTAACATCCCTAGAGCAAACTTTCTTTTTCCCCACTGTCTTCTGGCACTGAGAACTGATGTGGAGAAATCTGATTCTGTCTACTTTGTCAGTGACATGCTCTCCCTGCCCTTAGTGTGAGCCCCAGCTCCCTCCTGTCCCCAAGGGGCCTGCATGGCCTCACCTTCTGCAACACACTGCTACCCAGTTTTCAGCACCAGGAATGCTGCACTCAGGCCTATCTGAGGGCTGGATATGGGCTGTGCCCTTGGCTTGCTACTTTCTTTATTCACTCCCAACCTTCAGCTCTTGGCCTGAATGTTACCTCTTCAGACAACATCCCCTCCCCCAGCTATCATGGGTCCCTTTATCAGCCTGGTCTTTCTCTTTCCCTTGAAAGGAAGTCCATTTGCAGTTAGAGGTGGTATGTTTGGAGTTTTTCTGTAAGAACCCTGACCTGAGGGGAAAGGGGGTTCATGGTGGAAATTCCAGAGAAGGCTGGAAAGTTGGGGTCAGGAGTATTGCCCACATAAGAAGGCCAAGAGAAGAAGGAAATGACAAAAAGAAAGGAAAAAATAAACACTTTCTTAAGCCTACTTAGGTGCAGCTAGCATGAGGAGAGAGTAAAGCCATGTCTGGTGGTCCACTACACAAGTGAGGAGAAGAGACAGCTCAGTTTGGGGAAGTGTTATGGATTGAATTGTGTCCCCCCAAAAGATATGCTGAAGTCCTGTCCCGAGTGGCTGTGAATGGGACCTGATTTGGATGGGGCTGTACTGGAGTAGAGTGGACCTCATCTCACACACAGCTCTTTCCACTTCCTTTAGCTTCTCTGTGCCCCTGCCATGGCAGCCATTCTCCTGACAACCAGACCCAAGGTGAGTGGATCTCCCCAACTGTAGGTGGCCCCTTGCCTCAGCACCTCCCCTTTACCCTCTCCACCTGCCACTTCCTCATGTCCCAGCCCCACAACTCTTGCAACTCTGAGCCTCTCCCAGCTGCTGAGCTCTCTAGTACCCCTTGACCCATCTTTACTTGCCACCACCTCATCCTTGGACGCATAAGGGTGAACTTCTCTGCAGCCATAGGAATGGCTTGTTTTAGGTGCCAGTATCTTTTGAAGATGTGTCGGTGCATTTCAGCAAGACAGAATGGAAGCTTCTGGATCTCAAACAAAGGGTCCTCTACAAGCGAGTGATGCTGGAGAACTACCGCCATTTGGTGTCACTGGGTAAGGACCCCACATACACCCATAGCCCCCTTCTCTGTCTCTGAACTCAATTTATTTCTGAGCTTCTTTGCTGGTTGGTTACTGTGAGGCCCAGAATAAATGCATTTCCCCATTAGATTCATAATCCATTGCAGCCTAACTTTTGTCTCAACAGGGCAGTTTTTAGCTCAATGGTTTGGACCTGTAAATGTTTTACGTAAATGTATGCCCTCCCCCATCAAACTTATTTTGCATATAAACTCATAGGTTAACTAAACCTCTTCTACCCAAAAGATAGGTGCAAATTACCCTATGCCCTATTTGAGACTTAATTCACTTTTATCAAGGTTGCATTTCATATTCGTTTCATGTTAGAGAGTTTAGAAGCATTGAGCCACAGAGAGCTCAGGACATAGAGGCTCAGGACAAGGCATGCAGAAGCCAGGGCAGGAACCGGGGCAGGCTCCCCTGCTGCACCCCGCTGCTTTTGGGGTTGCAGTAGATCCTCTTGCTCCAATTTTTCTTTTAGATTCAACAGATGTCACCTCTGCAATTTATCCCCACAAAGGGAGACTAGCTTCTTCCCCTGGGTTCTTTCTGACTCTCACCAGGAAGATCTGAGGTTCCCAGGGGAGTTCAGGAATCCTCAGCTGAGTTTGGCATATGGAACTGAGACATCTGCTCTGTCTGATGGTGACTCAAGATGCTTTGGCTTTTGGGCTACAGGCATCCCCTCAGCTCTATTCACTTCCCGATACTCCCTAGGGCCTTGCCCCCTGTGGATCCCTGCTCTAGCCCTTGGTCTGTGCCTTGGGGTATCCATGCACCCAAAGCCCCCCCACAAGCCTGCTGTTATCCATGCAGGCTAAATAATAATATCTTAATCCTTTTGGCCCAACTCACCATCTACTTAAGATCCCCTGTGCCTGCCTGGCCCTTGTATGCTTAGAGCCCCTAGCTTCTTTAGAGGGATTCTGCATTTTCTCTGGACCATCCCAGTCGCACTTTTTGGAGAGTTCTTTGTTCTTGGTTTCTGAAGATACTGATTCACTTCATTTCCATTACAGGATTTTCATCCTCCAAGCCTCACTTGGTCTCCCTGCTGGAGCGAGGGGAGGGGCCCTGGGTTGCAGACATCAACAGGACAAGGGCTGCCGCAGGAATACAGGCAGGTGAGTAAAGGGTGCTTGGCCAGCTTGCCTGAGCCATTTGCAAAGAGCACAGCCACTTTGGGTGGGGAATTCTCTTTTGTGGCAGATAAAAATGTCCCAAAGAGTTCCCCCCATAGAGGTGCCAGATGAAGGGAGTACCTCCTGCTATCTCACACCACTTCCTCCCTTCTTGCTCTCCTGCCTGCCTGCCCGCATTCATCTCCTGGTTCACCTCTTCTCAGCCTTGGCATAAGGGTGAGAGTGAAGAACAAACCCTAAATAGAGATCTGGGAAGGAACAACACTGGTTGGTGCTCTCTTTCTTTACAGATGAAAGGATCACGAGCAAGACATTGAGTTCCAAGAAGAAACACAGTCCAAAAGAATTTGCAGGGGCCAATCTTCAGGGTGGCAGCAAGGGTCAGGTATCCAGGCTGACGGAGGAAAGACCCGAGCAGAGACAGAAACATGTTTATTCTCCAGAGACAGGCTCTAGCAGAGGTGACCATCACAGGGAGAAAGGCCAAGGCAACTCGTCAGGTGAAGGAAAAGAGATGGTGCAGAGAAGCAACCACAGTGTTAGGCAGGATTCAGTTCTAAGGCAACAGTGTTCCAAAGGTGCAGAGAAGCGGTACCTGTGTCAGCAGTGTGGGAAATCCTTTAGCCGGAGCTCCAACCTCATTAAGCACCGCATTATCCACAGTGGCGAGAAGCCCTATGAGTGTTCTGAGTGTGGGAAACTCTTCCGGCGCAGCTTCGCCCTCCTGGAGCACCAGCGCATCCACAGTGGCGAGAAGCCCTATGAGTGCAATGAGTGCAGGAAGACCTTCACACGCAGCTCCAACCTCATCAAGCACCAAATAATCCACAGTGGTGAGAAGCCCTACAAGTGCCCAGAGTGTGGGAAACTCTTTCGACGCAGCTTTGCCCTCCTGGAGCACCAGCGCATCCACAGTGGCGAACGGCCCTATGAGTGCAATGAGTGTGGGAAGTCCTTCAGCAGGAGCTCTAACCTCATCGAGCACCAGCGCACCCACAGTGGCGAGAAGCCCTACAAGTGCAGCCAGTGTCCAAAAGCCTTCAAAGGCATCTCCCAGCTCATTCACCACCAGCGCATCCACAGCAGGGAGAAGCCATTTGAGTGCAAGGAGTGTGGGAAGGCCTTCCGGGGACGCTCAGGCCTCAGTCAGCACCGCCGGGTGCATAGTGGCGAGAAGCCCTATGAATGCAGCGAGTGTGGGAAGACCTTCAGCAGAAGATCAAACCTCTTCAAACATCAAGCAGTTCACAGTGAAGAGAGGCCCCACGAGTGTCAAGACTGTAGGAAGGTGTTCCGGAGCAGCTTAGTCCTCCTGGAGCACCAGCGGGTACATGAGTGCAGAAAGGCCTGCAGCAAGAGTGGTGAGAAGCCCTGCACATGTGGGGAGTGTGGCAAGTGTGACAAGGACTTTAAGGGGAAATTGCAGCTCCGTCACTATCAGAAAACTCGCCATGGAAAGACGACTTTGGAGGACAGCGACTGTGAAAAAGAGCCAGCCTCCTTGGCCCTCAGAAGCTCCACTGCAGAGCCCCACCCTGCAAATGAGAAATAGGGGGACAAACTCTGAATGGATGAGTGCCCATAGTGCCATCTGACAGGGTTGTTGCAGGAGGACTGAGTGTCTTGCTCCCTTCCATTCTGTTGTTGATACAGTTAAGGCAGGGACTTCACTGCAGCCTGAGCCTTGGCCTGACGACAGGCTGCCGTGTGTGTGCACAGGTGTGAGTGCGTATGGAGCAGATGTGAGCTGCTGAAAGGGCTCTTGCACACCCATCAGGACTTCGTGCTGCAGGAGGAAACCTGTGAGTAGGGCCACCCCGGGCACAAGCACCTTGAGTTAAGGAAAGGTGGTCTATTTTCTCTCATAGGGTTGTTCACTTCGCCCCAAGACTTGTTAGTGTTTCCAGGTAGAAGACACTAAAAGCACTTTAATCCTTTAAGAGCTTATAAATGGAAGGGACTTGAAGACATTCAAAATCATTAGCTACACTATAAGTAGGCTGTGGCTCGAATGTGACATCCCCTCAAATTCATCAAGAAATGGTCTGAAAATGGACTCAGGCAAGTGATCTTGTGGACTTCTCACGTCTACATTGTCAGCCTCTGCTCCATGGGAAGGCACAGGACACCTTGCTATCATGCTGAGCAGTAACCCATTCTTTTTCTACGCCATTTGTCTTTGTGCCTGAAAACTGTAGCCTTCTCAGAGGAGCCGCACCAGGCCCCATCTTCTTGGAGCTCAGAGCTTGGAGGGTTTGGGGGGATAGCTGGCTGGGGCTCTGCACAAAGGATGAGGCCCAGGAACTCTCAGCTTCTCCTCCCCAAGAGAGGAGCCCCTTTGCTCTGGTCCCTCGAAGCAGCAGGCTCCGGGCAAGATATGGCAGCATGGCAACATTTGCCACCGGCTGCCCTGCTACCTTTGTTCTGCTCCCTGCCTACCAAGCCCCCAAGTTTACCACACCTGCTGCTTTCTGCTCTCTCCAAGACCCCACCAGAAAGGCCACCCTGGCTTCTCTGTCCCACCTCCCCACCCTCAATGCCTAAAGCTTCAAGCTTAGCTCCCCCCCACACACACACACACACACAGAGCCACCCCTTGTGGCTTGTGCCCATCAGGAGGAAAGCAAAACGGGTTAGGAATTTGCACAGAGGGTACCCAGTTGTGGTTCTCTCATTAGATTTGTCTTTATATGGCATTTCTTAAAATATTGGAGGTTCAGTTGCTTTGAATGTTTTTGTGTTTGGGATAATGTAAGTTGAAGATTGAGATTTTTGCCATATGAAAGTGTAAGGGAATTGCTCCTAAAATAAGAATCCCACCCCACCCCAGCTCTCTGAGAAGTACTGAAACAAGAGAAAGGGACTCCCTGAGATCTGACACACAATCAGTGTGGTGGCAAGCCTGGCTACTCTTCTCCCTCTTCCCCCTTAGCCGGTGGAAACAGGGCAGGCCCTTCAAATGGCTCTTTACTGCAGGCCAAGCAAAGTTCTCAAGGGGAAAGCTCATGCTGGCCAGGGGGCAGCTGCTGGCAGGCTCTGTCCCATGCCACCTATGCTGTCCCCAGAGTTGGACCCAGGAGTTATGCCCCTTGGTATTCTCAGCCCAGCATCCTGGTTGGCTTGCCACCTCCTTCCAGCCCTCTTCACTCCCAGGGGCTCTGATCTGTCACACAGAGTACCTGAGGGCAGGCAGGTGGTAGTTGTGCTGGAGGCCCCCCTCTAACATGCACATTCTCTGTAAAACGGGAGGGTCAAAGACCCATCAGGAGAGTGTGGGAAGACCTGAAAGTACAGGATTCCTTCTGAACATGCTGCTTGGAGCTCCAACTGCTAGGACGACTCCAGAAGTGAGAAATAATAGGTATAAGTGTAGATATAAGTGTAGATGTAGATGTTTTATATAGATTTATTTAAAGGATTTTACATATCTTTGACTTATGGAAAGTTCTTATAACTTGTCCTCTGCTGTGTGTCACATCTTTGTGTCGTAGTTGCCAAACCCAGTGCTTGGCACTTAGTAAGTGCTTGTGAAATAAATAGTGCCCCCTTAGCACGTTGAACTCAGGTTCTAAACCACAGTCAGCTCCAACCTTACCTTGAAGTAGTTGAAAGTTTCTGTAACTTTGGGTTTTCCAGTAGAAAATGAAGTATTAGGAACAGTGTCTGAAGTCCATAGACAGGTCATTGGGAAATGTGTTTTTCTGAAGCGCAGACAATCTTTGCTAGGTCTGGCATGAATTCAGGAAACCAATCCACATGCAAGGCAGGGAACAGTGGCAGGAAGCCCTGTACTTGGGCTTCAGTCTCATTCAACCATGGTCCGACTGTGATTGGGACAACAGCTGCCACGTGCTGGGAATCGGGAAGAATGCACTCTAGTAAGTGAACAATTTTGCTCTTACAGGCTAGTCAGTAACCAACTTTTAATAAAGAAGAGTTGGATCTCCACAGATTAATGTCATCACATTGGTCCTACAGGCAAAGACTACGTGGGGTAGGGAGTTAATGTACAGGTGTTTTCAGCATAAAGTGGATTTGCCCAGAGAGATGCTGGGCACTTTTGCTTTGTTTTTGGAGTGTCCTGATGCTTACCCAGATAAGTGACATTTCCAATAGCAAGACACCGGCTCGGCTCATAGCACATCTGAGCCTATGGACCATTTGACCTTTGAAACTTTGGACACTTTTCAAGAGCTGTTTAAATTCTGTGGCAGTATCTTCATGTAACTGGTAGCCATCAGATGGTTTAAAGTAACCAGATACTGGTTGGGTTAAAGGTGTCAGGGGAGACAGTAAGCATGGACTTGTGGAGGAAAGCTGAGATGCCATGTTTGGGCGTCCCTCAGCCCCCTGAAAAGATAAGACAGAAACCTTTGAGGGCCAGCTGCATAGGAATCAAGGGCAGCCACCTGAGGCTGGTCAGACACCATGACTCTGCAACCAGGAAAGTCCAAGCACCACATCAATACCCTAAGAAGCACAGCCCTGTCCTCTATCCAGTTGTTTCTGTTGCCACTCTTTAGGCAACATGGCAGCATCCACACTCATCAGCGTGGGTGCCCTGTCTGGCCCCGTGTGGCCCTGTAAGGAAGGCAGCTCCATCTTCGCCCTTCAATTGTTTGCTTTTTTTTAAAAAAAAAA